AAAAATCTTTTATTCAAAATACAGTAGACTCCCCTTATAAAACGGGTTCATATAGTTGGGATTCCCATGTGACGGCGAAAAAATTGTGACTGTATTCGTATAAACACACTAAAAGAGACTCGTATAATTCAGTAAAATGTCATTGCCGACTCGTGTTGCGACAGGATTGGTCGAATCTAGACTATAGCGGATATTGCACAAACTGTTGAGTTTAAACGAGCAGTGGACCTACTAAAACCCATTTATTATTTAACGTCCATAAAAATTATATCTATATTAATGATGTCTCCAAAGTTCACCAAAGTTTTTGCAGAAAAATAATTTATCAGGAAGTACATGAGTGGCATTAGATGCACTGCTCCACGACGAAAATAAGCTTAAGCAATGGCGTTGTCAAACAGTGCACACTCGTAAGTAATCCTACAATTTTTTGTTTATAGCATGGTTTATATGAATTATTCCCAAAAAATTATACGTATTTTGGAAATGTTGAGTTGAATTAGTCTAGAATCAATTTTATGGAAGAAAACCTTTCAAACAGCCGTAGTCCGTAAACTGCATACATGCCGGGCTGTGATTGGCTCATGTATTTAAGGACTCGTAGAAAATGGATTTCATAAAATCTGGAACGTATCTACCGTGTTATGGGGGTCAATTGTATATTTACTAAAAGGTAATACAAGGTAGTAGTCATTCGCTCTAATTTGGATAGATATAGTGCATGTTATGATGACATCTCTAAATAAACTCTTCCACAGGATCCCAAACTCACATTTTAANATCTGGAACGTATCTACCGTGTTATGGGGGTCAATTGTATATTTACTAAAAGGTAATACAAGGTAGTAGTCATTCGCTCTAATTTGGATAGATATAGTGCATGTTATGATGACATCTCTAAATAAACTCTTCCACAGGATCCCAAACTCACATTTTAAACTGCGTTTTAGTAAATCTGTTAAAAAAAAAATCGAAGGCTCATCAGAGCCTTCTCTCCTGGATAAGAACTTGTCACATACTGTGTGAAATATTTCTTGAAATCTTTAACTTGTGTCAATATCGTGCTATTTGTCTACACCTAGATCAAAGAAGAAAAATATTTGGAGATAACTTTATTATTACATATTAGAATGCCTTGGACTTGTGATTCTTCTAATCTGTTTATTTTTCTCATCTGTATCTTTCAGTTATGCTCCATTTCCCAACAAAGCACTTAACATGTTAAGTAATATGTTAAGTAGTTATGTGTAATCTTTGCTGTAACATAATATCTGCTGCAATTGTTCTAATTACTTTAACAAGCATGGCTTGCATAGATAACAGATACTTCTAAGACCATGTTGTTTGTGGTCACTACATTATTAGAGAACACAATGAGCATGGCCACTATTTGTACAATCCACAATCTGTGGCATTCCTCTGAACAAAAGTTTGTGAAGTGTTTTTATTTATAAATATATATTTTGTATATTCTAATAATGAAACCAGGCATTCCAAGTTAAACCAAAGTTATTAATTAAAAAATATACAAACTAAATATTCAAAAGTAGTGTTTATTAATTTAAACATAATACATAAAAATTAGTTTTTATTGAATTTATGTTCCATTACTTTGAGTTAAGGCTAATTTTTCCTCTTCTTCCATTGTAGGTGGATGAGCTAATACAGTGTCAATGAGACCAAATTCTTTTGCTTGTTCAGGATTCATAAATCTATCTCTTTCCATACTCTCCTCTTAATATGAAATATATGTTTTAATTAATTGCATTATAATAAACAAATTTAAATAAAGATGGTTTCTTACCAATTTTTTGTAAAGGTAGTTTAGTATGTTGTGCATATATAGAATTAATTTTCTTTTTCAAATATAAAATTTCTTCTGCATGAATCTGAATGTCTGTTGCTTGACCCTAAAATAAAAATATCATTATCAAATGGATTTACATAAATGTTATCTTATGCTACATTTAATTTTAATATATAAAACTGCATCAAAAATCTTAAAGCTGGGTAGTCACATGAACAAATTCAGTGCCAAACCAGCTTCTAATCATATAATCAAATTGTAGACGTTAGATACTAAAAAAAATTTTCTGAAACTCAAAGATATAAGTCTGGATCATTGCACAACAGTTCAATAAGTTTAGGTTTCATTAAGTTTTTATAAAATGTTCATAAACTTACAGCAGCTTGACCAGATGGCTGATGAATCATGATTCTAGAATTGGGCAATGAATGTCTCATTCCTGGTGTTCCAGAACATAATAGTAGACTAGCCATACTGCAGGCTTGACCAACACACCATGTGGCAATTGGAGGTCTTATATATTGCATTGTATCATAAATTCCTAATCCAGCTGTAACTGATCCACCTAAAAATAAACTTTGTTACTTTTGAAGTACATTTTCATAAGGTAAAAAAAAACCTTTATAAGGACAGATTAATTAAAATAAGATACTATGTTAATTTATGATGAAAAATGTATACTAATTTCATTTCTTTTGTTAAACTTTAACAGAAGTTTTTATAAGTTTAACAAAAGAAATGAAATTACTAAGTCATAATTATGAAAATTTTCTTTTAAAAATATTTTGACTCTATGAATACTTTTAATTTATAATTCTTGTTTAAATATGATTACTAATATGATTTCTTAGTTTTATCTGACTATACAAGTTACAAAAAATTTCCAATCCATATAGATGAAACAAATGTTTCAAGAGTTATTAGATTTGTTTGAGAAAAACGAAAATGAAGTTCATATGTTTGTGTCCAGCTTCTCAAAATGCAAAAAACAATAGTATATATAATATTTATACACCATTAGTGCAGGTAGGAATGCTCATAATTTCTTTTTTTATCTGTTTACAAGTTCAAAACTTTAAAACAAAAAACTAAAGTACCACCTTAATTAATTAATTTTTTCTAAAGTATTTTGTTACAGTAGTTGCATTGAACACTTTTTAATATTATGAATATCACTTACAAAACCAAAAATTCAGCTTGTAAAAGAAAACAAATGTTTTCAATTGCCTTGAGCAACCATCTTCAGGTTAAAAGAATAGATTCAGGGATTATACTCTATATTCCTTTGGGACAACGAAGACAGCTAGTACCTACAGTACATTGTTTTAATGGATGTATCATAGCCTCAATGTTTACTAGAACATCTCAATACAATTAATAAAAGGCAAACTATTACAGCATTAGCTGTGTATGACTTGGATAAGACAAGTGTATTGTCAATGTTCAGTTGCATATCTTACTCAGGAGCCTCCACAAGTTGTATGTAAATATCTTAAAATGTCAGAATTTTACAAGGCCAGCAGAATCAACCACAACTATTAACAAGAACAGTAACACGTTATTTCCAGCATGGAAGGCATTATTTTCACATCCTGATGCAACTACATGACTGCCAACCAGTTCTTGTAATGTTATAATTTAAAATATAAAAGAACTGGTTGGCAGTCATGTGATTGCATCAGGATGTGAAAATAATAATAAATTTGAAATAATGGACCACGAAACATGCACTCACTGCACTGGGACACACAGTTACAAAGAATGTAATGATAAAGAAGAAACTCCTATTTGTAAAAACTGTGACAGAAAGACTTACAAATACTAGTCACAATGCAATAGATCACATATGCCTCATTTATCAGAAAATGAAAAATGTAATCATTGCAAAAACAGACTATGGAACAAAAAAAATTAAAGATAAAATTAGTATCCTGCAAATAAACCTTGGCAGAGGAAGATATGCCACCTCTCTGCTCTCAAATAAACTTCAAACATACGATGTGGTCCTTGTACAAGAACCATATTGTATTAACAATANAACATCTCAATACAATTAATAAAAGGCAAACTATTACAGCATTAGCTGTGTATGACTTGGATAAGACAAGTGCACTGTCAATGTTCACTTGCATATCTTACACAGGAGCCTCCACAACTTGTATGTAAATATGTTGAAATGTTAGAAATTTATAAGGCCAGCAGAATCAACCACAACTATTAACAAGAACAGTAACATGTTATTTCCAGCATGGAAGGCATTATTTTCACATCTTGATGCAACCACATGACTGCCAACCAGTTCTTGTAATGTTATAATTTAAAATATAAAAGAACTGGTTGGTAATTGGCAGTCATGTGATTGCATCAGGATGTGAAAATAATAATAATAAATTTCAAATAATGGACTACGAAACATGCACCCACTGCACTAGGACACAGTTACAAAGAAGAAACTCCTATTTGTAAAAACTATGTGACAGAAAGACTTACAAATACTAGTCACAATGCAATAGATCACATATGCCCTATTTATCAGAAAATCGACTATGGAACAAAAAAAATTAAAGATAAAATTAGTATCCTACAAATAAACCTCAGCAGAGGAAGAGATGCCACCTTGCTGCTCTCAACTAAACTTCAAACATACGATGTGGTCCTTGTACAAGAACCATATTGTATTAATAATAAACCTGTTTGTTGATCCACTAAATATTCCAGAATAATAATGCTCCATGGGTATTCATTAATACCCATGGAGAATAAGAACATATTGGTTACTATGATTTTTGTGGAATAAAATAGATATGTTATCTGCTGTGATATTTATGAACATGATACTAAGCTGCTCATAATTAACATATATTGTCCCAAAGAATCAATCTTCAAGATATATTAGAAGAAATCAATAAGATAATTAATGCTGTCCCCAACAAAAACATTATTCTCGCTGGGGATATTAACTCTCATTCTCAATTTGGGGAAGTAACAAACTCGATAAAAGACAGGAAACATTCAAGCAGTTCTGCAGTTCTAAAAAAACATCATCTTGAACAACTGTTATTCATCTCCAACTTTTGAATCAAGCAGAGAAAAAAGTTGGATAGACATCTCAGCCAGCACCTCTAACATTTACATACACAACTGGAAGTTTGAAGATGACACTACACTAAGTGACCATAAGTACATAACTTTTGAAATCAACATCCCTAATCTCAACATTCTAGAGGAACCAAGATATTGCACAGTCCAGACAGATGGAGAACATATGTTATGGATAAAACTGACATAACTCCCTCAAACTCAAGGGAAGAGGCTAAGAGAAAGATTGAATGAAATCTCAAAAGTACTAAGGATGCACATGAGATTGCTATACCAAAATACAGGGCCAAGAATAAACCGGTCCACTGGTGGAACAATACTCTATTTCTGAGCTTCAGTTCAGACAATGCCCTCAGAAAAAGTATCAACAAACTAAAGAGGACACACAAAGGTTGATCTACAAACAACAATATTTAAAGCGACAAAAACCACATCAAGATTTCAATTTAGAATCCTTTGATAGAATACTGCACTAGAGCTAGCAAAAACCCTTGGGGGTTTCTTACCAAGTGGAGCTGTAACAGATTAAGAAGAATGGAGGCCATGACCATCTTGGAAACTACAGGAACTACAAATGATCTGCAAACTACCATCAAACCTATATTTCAAAAAATATGTGTAGATGACAATGAAAACAAAGATCTCAACATTCATAGTAAAATCAGAAACAACATAAATGTAGATATTAATACCTCTGCCTGATACATCCCCTTTCACACACATAGAAGTTGGCAAAGTAATCACTAACCTGAACAACAGAAAGACCCCAGGGCTCCGCAGAATTACCCCAAAAATCATCAAACAAATTTGGAAAATAAACCCAACATTTCTTTACCTCTTCAACACTTTCTTACATTTCAGCATCTTCCCCAGGGAGTGGAAGAGAACCAAGTTGGCACTTGTCCCTAAAGTAAACAAACCCACAGACCAATTTCCCTGTAACCTGCACTAATGAAAGTAATGGAAAAACTGCTTACAAACAGACTCTCATGGCACCTTGAGTCAAATAACCTACTGAGTGATAATCAGTATGGTCAACAATCAAAGGTCAACTGTTTATGCTATCACAGTGGCAGTCAACATCAAAGGACTACTTGACAGAAATAAATATGTTTTGAGACTTAATATAGACATCCAGAAGGCATTCAACAGTGTGCCACTGATTCTTTTGTAAGGAACCAAGTCCAAGCGTTCTTTTTATTTACTTTTATTCTATTTTTGTTTGGGGCTTATGTTTAGTTAGGACGAAGGTTTCCTCACCCGTCACCTTAGAAAGTTAAAAAGAGAAGATAAAACAACTCACCGATGAAAAATGAAAGCGCCATAGCTAGCACTCGCACTCACGTGCACGCCCGAGTGGCAGATAGTAAGTCCGCACTGAAAGGGGGAAAGACCCCACAGACTTTTAGGAACTTGTTAAACCTTAAAGGAAACATCCCGATAATTGTTCAATAAAAGACTGTAAAAGGTTAACAAAGTATTGTCGGGAATTAAGCTACCAGATACACGTAACATTCACTTTTTTCTGGTTTAAGTATGTAAATGAGGGGAGTGTCTCACTTAGAAACTGTGACATCACCTCAGACTATAAATAGAGTAGCTCAAGTGAAGACGGCAGAGGTGAGCTCCTGCAAGGAATAAGCATTGGTGTGCTAGTAGCAATGAACGAAGTGTCCAATAGGAAATAGTCCAAGGCAATTGCAGTATTCAATTTGTGGATCAAGGAATAGGAAAAGTCTTGAGTTAAGAAAAAAGTTCCTAGTATAATTGAGGTGACGGTTAGGATTTGTAGTTATAAGAAATTCTGTACATAAGTTAAGGATTGATTATTGTCGGAATTCCAAGGGGAATAGTTCTAAGTTAGAATAAGATTGTGATTTTGTCGGGTTGACTTTGGATTTGATTTGATTGAATAAATTTGTTGATTGTTGTACATATTGTAAATAGTATTTCTAGATCTTTATTAAATATTTTTTGATTTTGACTAACTTGTCCTTAATTTACTTCGGTGCACACGAAAGTCCAGGCCTGGCAACTAACAAACGCGAATCCACGTAAAGTACCCGTTAGGTAACGGCTCTTTCTTATAAGAATTGTTGTAAAGCGGTCCAATAAAATAAAATTAGTACTTTACACTTTATAGACTCAAGCAACTACAATGTTCCACAAACATCTATCTATTGATGAAAGAATACCTTCATGAGAGAACTATTGCCATCAAAACAGGAAATATTACTTTTGAGAATGAGTATAATGGGTTGTCTATGGCTCGGCCTGTGGACCACTTCTACGGTGCATCATTTTCAATGATTTTTTGACCCAGGACAAAATCATTGTGCATGTGGATGACACACTTGTGCTGTTGACTGGTAACTCTAGAGCAGAACTCAAAAGGTAAGAAAAGCAGGCTACGTCAAAAATAAGCAAATGGAGAGGGAAAAACAAGCTGATCTTCAATCCAGGCACTCAAAACTTTTACAAGAGAGTACTGACAATTCAGATGGGGTCAGAAAGTATAAAAATAGAGAAAAACATTAAATATTTAGGGATCACCTTGACTTTAAGCTGCTTTGGACCACACATATTAAGAACATTTGTAAGAAAACAGGATTAATCTTTCAATGTTTCTCTAAGGTTGCTAAAAGCAACTGGGGACTTGACTCTCATGCTATGGACTCAATTTATAACATGATATTTATTCCAATAATTACTTATGCCTGTCCAGTTTGGGAAGAAGCCACTCACAAAATACATAATAAAAGGAAACTAATATCAGCCCAAAGGAAAACACTACTGATTCTCACCAAAGGTTACAGAATGACTCCTACTAACAGCCTCCAGATAATTGCTAGAGAAGCCAGCAAGGATCTCAAAATCAAATACCACGTATTAAAATGGAAATGGAAACTGAAACATGGTAACATGGCAATGACATTACCGTCATGGATGAGAGACTTAGATGATTTCAAATGAAGATCCCTTATGCACTTATCCAGAACCCAAGTAAAAGAAAATATTTTTACTCTGAAAAATTGACAGACAATCATATAGATGTATACACAAATAGGTCTAAAATCAACAATAATATTGGTGCCAGTTATGTAATATATCATGAATATATGGAAATTGAAAATAAACTTATCAAATTAGACAATACATACAGTGTTACACAAGCAGAACTGCTGGCAATTGCCATTGACATGGAAGACTGTATTGCTAAATACTCCCATTATAACATTAGCTGCTTGGCTGTCAGAATAGATGTTATTTACATAATTCAGAACATCGATACTCACCCAATTACAAATAATACTATGCTACAAAATTCAAATGGTGCCTTCTCCCTTAATTGGCTGAGAGGACACCAGGAAAATATTGGCAACAAAAGAGTCAATGAATTAGCAAAGACAGCAGGCCACCAACCAAGAAAACACCATAATATACACCAAATTACCACCTGTTATAGGATTCAACACTATAAAAAACGATATTTTAAAAGAATGGCAAATGTTTTGTGAACACTTACATAATAAAACAACTTACTCATACTTACCAGACATTAAAAGTATCTACAAGATGAATTGGTTCAAAATCAATCACAATATAATCCAATTTATAACAAACCATGGCTGTTTTCAAAGCTACTTACACAGGTTCAAGTGATAGTGATAAGTGCTATATTTGTGACAAAACCAATGGAAGTGACCACTATCTGTTTGACTGCCCTATAGTCAGAAAAGAAAGGAAAGACTTACAAATTTTAGGCTACAAACATATAGATTGGCCATGTAATACAGGTAAAAGCCTTTTCCTGCAAAATGAAGAAATCTACAGGCTCTTCAAAACTCTTACAGACTTATATTTCAAATAGACTGTAGTACAAAAATTATATTGAACATTATTAGTTTTCTGGGAAGCTACCCAGCCCTTTATTGTGGTAAGTCCTACGTGTTGCGAGTAGTGACAGAGTCCACTCTTGCCCATACCATTCATTTACTGTTACATGCATTTAACATCACTTTTATACAATGATGACAGTACAGTATGTAGTTTGCCACCCAGATGTGGGTATGCACAAATCATTTGTACCTGATTAATAAAATAAAATAACATTCTTGCTTTATACTGTATTGATTAGATTTGAACCACAATTATTTGCAATACAGAGAGAAAAATATGTGCTCTTATTACCACTTTGCCAAAAGGAAAGATATTTAGGTTATTTTGTTCTTTTGATAAGACTGTCTTTTTTCCCCAATGTATCTTATTTTATTCTTTCATCTGATAAAATGATAAAATAGGTTATTTGGAAAGTATTTGTAATAAACTTTCTTCAGTTTTAATAATTTTCATAAAATGTTATGAGTTTTATCATGATGATCATCTTGTATATATTTCTATATTTAAAAAATGTAAGTATAGAAATAAAAGGTAAAAGTTTTCTTTGTAAAAAAAGTTAAATAATTTCTTTACCTGGACTGTTTATATACATATGAACTGGTTTTTTGTTACTTTCTGATTGTAGAAACAGCAACTGTGCTACAACAAGGCTAGACAATTCATCTGAAATCTAAATAACACATTTTAAAATTTATAAATGTAATAATTTAATTTGAGATTCATATTATGTTTAAAATTGATGATATCTTAAAATCTTTGAAATATAAAATACAAGTGATACAATATTAAAATAATTATTATTAAATATAATAAATAGTAAATTATCAAATAAAATTTTAACAAAGACTTTATTTTTTCTTCTTTTTTGAATTGAATTTTATAAATAAAATTTCTGATAGTCATAAAGATCAAACATACTCTTTACAAGTACTGCATACTTTATATATAACACAGGTGAGAGAAAATCTAACATTTTCAATCTTATTTAAAGATCAGGTTCTTAAGATAGAACAGAAAACAACTTTGAAAATTTTCAACCCTTGTGCATGCAATATGCAATACAATTTGATCATTTGTAATGTAGTCCATAGACAATTTTCTGAATTCAAATGATTCCATTCTAAAAGGTTAATGTTAAGACTAAACATTCCAAAATAGTCAATACTTAATAAAAGTAATCATCATGAACATAAATAGAAATTAAACATCTACTAAGCAAACTAATAGTAAAAATAGATATCTGCTGAAAGCTATTTTATCTTTATCTTAAGTTGTTTCAGACCTCTTTGAAAATGTACTAATGTGTATATTTACATATAAAGATTTACAGAACTATATTAATACTGTGAGAGGTATAACCCTTTTGTTTAATAATTGTAATCAAAACCATAAAACTTATAAGTTACAGTTTATATTATAAGGTTAAAATAATAATAATAAACATCCTAATGATGACATTAAAGGGGGTTGTGTGTATCTCCAGTAGGATCAGATTTAGTGACAATTTTACTTGTTAGCATTTACAAGTTTTTATAAAACTCATCACTACCCTAAAATTAAGCTTTTTGCCATTTTATAATAGTTAGCATATTTTATTAAAAAGCTTTTTATATTTTTAACAGATGGTGCCACCAAATTTTGCTGGGGAAAAGTTGAGCAACTTATTGCTGGATTTTTTATTATTATTATTAATATACTGGTATACAGGTGACTGGATTTTGCAAACAAATTAGCTATTCAAACTGAAATATATGCTCATTCGCTTATTTACATATACATATATACCTCATTTTACAACAAGCCACCATTCCAACAGTTTGACACAATATACACAAATATAAACACAATGCCAGACAGTAAAAGTTGTGATTGCTACAAAAATATCATATCTTGAAACATTTTTATGCTAAAGTAACTATAAACAGTAACCAATGTCAGTAATGACAAAATAGAATTGTACATTTTCATTTAACAAAAGTATTTATTATAACTATTATAAAGTTATATTACAGAGAANATAGTTAAAAATATACAAAAGCTTTTTAATAAAATATGCTAACAGATGGTGCCACCAAATGTTGCTGGGGAAAAATTGAGCAACTTATTGCTGGATTTATTATTATTATTATTAATATACTGGTATACAGGTGACTGGATTTTGCAAACAAATTAGCTATTCAAACTGAAATATATGCTCATTCTCTTATTTACATATACATATATACCTCATTTTACAACAAGCCACCATTCCAACAGTTTGACATAATATACACAAATATAAATACAATGCCAGACAGTAAAAGTTGTGATTGCTACAAAAATATCATATCTTAAAACATTTTTATGCTAAAGTAACTATAAACAGTAACCAATGTCAGTAATGACAAAATAGAATTGTACATTTTCATTTAACAAAAGTATTTATTATAACTATTATAAAGTATATTACAGAGAACATGAAGTTACTGTATTTACTCACATATAAGATGAGGTTTTTATTCATTTTTCACTGCTTCAAAAACATAGGTCATCCTATATGTGCAAGCAAAGGACTTTTTGCATTTTTGAAATAATTTTTGTAAACCATGTATTTGCATTTTTACTGGATGCTCACCATCCAGTATTTAAAAACAAAAGTATTTTATCTGGGTTGTTTCAATTGTTCTTGTGTATTGTCAGGAGTAAAGATGAATAGCAATTGGAAAAGCAAAGCTTTTGAATTAAATTCCAAAATCACATGGGAACCTGATAAAACTTTTAATCCATTCCCATGTGAAAACAGATGATTATTCTGAAATCAGAATTCAGAGAAACTCATAAGTGTAATCCAAGGAGAGTGGATTCAACTGTTAAGAATTGGCAAAAAAGTTTTCTATTGTCCAACTTTACATGAACAAATTATGTCGATTTTACAAGAATTTTCTTTAAAGTTTAAAATGCCAGTAATTTTTGCAAGACAATGTGTGCATTTGATATTTTATTTGAATAAAATTAGAATTGTATAATAAATCTAATTTTCTTTTAATTAGATTTCCATTACTGGTTTTTTGTAGACTTTAAAGAATTAAAAGCTAGTGGCTTTCTTTCTTCAGTAACACATCACACAAGGAACAGTATGTATTTTTTATTAAAGGAAATGCATTTCAGGTCTTAATGACCCCTCTTCAGTCCTTAGAATGGTTGATTGTTGGTTACAATTGACATTAGAGAGTATGTTGGGTAATTGACTTGAAATCAGTTTAGAGCAGGGGTCGGCAACCTTTTGAGTCGGAAGAGCCAAAATTACAATTTACAAAATTTCAAAGTTTTTAAAGAGCCACAAAATTTTTTATCGCCAACAATAAATAGTACTCGCATAAATAAAGTTTTTTGATTAAAAAAAAAACTAATCTATATATTCATAAGAAAAAATATCTATTTATTCATATATAAGTAGTGTTTTTCACAACAAATTAGATAATAAAAACATCCGACGACGGCGTCATTCGAGAGCTTCCGACGGACTGACGACAGTGACGACGCGTGTCACGGGGGAGGGGTGCGGTGAAAAGCGAGTACAAGTGGCTGAGAGATAGAATC